AAGCGGTTTACAGAGTCAGCATATTGCCCCCAACAACAATCCGGGTCCTCATTTTACCCACCTTGAAAGGATGGAAGGCTGAGTCAACCCTGAGCTGGTGAGATTTGAACAGCCGAACTGCAGAACTGCAGTCAGCTGAAGTAGCCTGCAGTGCTGCATTAACCACTGTGCCACCTCGGCTCTGGGCTTAGAACTCATGTTCCCCCAATGTCTAACCAAATTGACTCTTCCAATTCTGATATTTTCTGGATAGCTTATGTCAATTTAAAGCAGAAATAAAGGTCTGGTCTTTAATTTTAACTGTTAGCTCTAACAATTTAAAGCTAAGTCCTAGTGAACTTAAATATGAGCCAGCAGTGAGCTGCAGCTGCCAAAAAAGTCAGTGCAATCTTCTCTGAACTACATTAACAGAGAGGTAGAATCAAGATCATATGTAGTATTAATACCACTTTATAAGGTCTTGGTAAGGCCACAACCGGAATGTTGGATCCTGTTTTGGTCACCATAATTTTAAAAAAATGTTGGGACTCTAGAAACAGTGCAGAGAAGAATATCAAAGATGGTTAGAGGCTGGAGGCTAAAACATAATGAAGAATGATTGCAAAAATCGGGTAAGTCTAGTCTAGTGAAAAGAAGGACTAAGGGTGACATGATAAAAATGTTACAATATTTCAGGGGCTGTCAGAAAGAAGAGGGGGTTAACCTATTTTGCAAAGCACCAGAAGGTAAGACAAAAGAAAAAATGCATGGAAAGTAATCGAGGAGAGAAGCAACCTAGAACTAAGGAGAAATTTCCTGACAGAACAATTAACCAGTGAAACCCTTTGCCTTCAGAAGCTGTGGGTGCTCCATCACTGGAGGTTTTAAAGAAGAGATTGGACAGCCGTTTGTCCAGAATGGTATAGGGTCTCTTGCTAGAAGACCTTCAAGGTCCCTTCCAACTCTGTTATTCTGGTATTCATTTAAGGAGTTCCAGTAATTTCAGTGACCTACAGATGGCACCAATGCTCTATCATGAACCTATTACGTACCTTTAACATGCCAGATGTGATAAAGAAAAACAAACAAACAATCTGACTTACTAAAGAAGGACATTGTAAACTGTACATATAACTGATATCATCTAATATCCAAAACTAGCCTGGCATTAAGCAGAGTAAGAGAAAAGGAAGCAAATTCTACACACCTTTTTGCATAACTGCTCTGGTACAATGACATCCCTGCTTCAGACACTGACACACAGATGCAAATACATATTTGTTTATTAAAATCCATATAGGCATATATCCAGAGCCATTGACTGAGATGGGTGGCTCTAAAAATGCAATAAATAAATACATAAATAAATATTTGCTAGTGTGAATTTACTTATTTATTTAAATTGAAATGTGCTGTCCGCTGTTTGTTTGGAAGGCTATGGTGGAATAGTGATTCATTGTAGCTAAGTGCTGAACTTCACACTAATGTTTTGCAGGCCACAGATACTGGGGCATCCATGACCATTCATGCTTTCGGAGCTTATTTTGGGTTGGCTGTAGCCAGACTCCTCTACCGGCCAGGCTTGAAAAATGGACATCCTAAAGAAGGTTCTGTTTACCATTCAGACCTATTTGCTATGATTGGTGAGTGTGCACATTGTTTGGTAAATTCCATGGAGCTGTTTTTAACTAATCAATTAACTTGTTTTTAATAACACTTTAATAATCTTGAACTGATCGACAAATCACAAAGTAAAAATGACTGTAATAGCAACAATCAAATATCTATCAATTAAAAGCAGCATGTATAGCCCTTCGTGTTGAAATGTTGGTAGAAGGAAGTGAAGAAGAGGGGAGGAAAACCTCACATCCCTCCGTAGGCCTCAGTTGCTACTTCTATGACGTTTTGCCACATTGCAAGGGGTGGTGGTGTCATGCACTCCATGCATTTGCCTATATAGGTTATGTTTTTCTGAACTTTACCTGTTTTCTTCTAATTAGACAGGCTCTTCATTCTTCCAGTAGATGCCTTTTGTCCTAAATGAGACATCAGCACTTAATAAGTGATCTCAAAGTAACTTTGACACAGATCCATTATCGTTTGAATGTTGTGTTAAAGATTGAAAACATGGCATGTAATGTAAGCAGCAAAATTTTCCCCAAAAGCTATAAAAATGAATACTCAGACTGTTTATATTTACAGCAGGAAGTCAAAGCTGCTTTGCTTCTACATCTACTGTATATCTGCCCAATTTCAAGTGATACAGGTATCCTCAGGTTATGGCCGATCATTTAGCACCCATTCAAAGGTATCACTGGGCTATTTACAACCCAGATTCAAAGTAACAATGATTCACCCTGCAATCACATGACCGAACTTCAGGTGTTCACTAACCAAGCTATATCTATGGCCAATTGCAACATCCTGCAATCTCATAACTGTTTTACAGTAGTTTTGCTATAAACTAGCATTTACTTCCATTTTTTGGCAAAACTGCAACCATAGTGAACCACTGGTTTGTTTAACAACCACAGCATTTGTTTAACAACTGCAGCATTTGTTTTACGACCATGGCATTCCTTTAATGATTGTCACAAAAGAGGTCATAACATTCGGTTGATCACACAACCAAACCGTTTACAACCATCACAACTCATAATCACGATAGACGGATTCCATTACATAAACTGAGGACTCCCTAGATACGAACCTGTTAAATTTTGTGTAGTGGTTAAGGGCTAGGCTAAAAGCCTGGAGTCTGTGAGTTTTTGTCCTGCCTTAAGCACAAAGCTAGCTAGGAGACCTTGGCGCCGTCCCTCTGTCTGAGCCCTATGAAGCAGGCAAGGGAAACCACTTCCAAAATTTTGCCATGAAAAGAGGCACCAAGCCAGGCAGTTGCCAGGAATCAAGACTGACGCCTTTCCTTTTTCAGGTACTCTTTTCCTTTGGCTCTTTTGGCCCAGTTTTAACTCGGCCATTGCAAAATCAGCAGAGGAGCAACAGAGGGCAATCATGAACACATACTTCTCTTTAGCAGCATGCACCGTTACCACATTTGCTTTCTCTATTCTGGTTGAACACCGAGGCAAACTGGACATGGTAAGTATTGCCTTGAACCCCTGCGATAGAGGTCTACTTGAACTAACCAACACGCCTTATAGCAGAATAATAGAGTTTCTCAAAAGATTACTACATCTTATTAATCCAAGCCAAGCTGTTCCAACTTCAATTTTATAAAAGCACATGAGAACGTATGTCTTCTACAAAAATACTGTGTGGTACACTAGGCTCAAAAAGTGTATATATGTATATATGTGTGTGTGTGTGTGTGTTTTGTATTTGTGCTGATAAATAAATANGTCGGCATCTTCATATCCGGTCACATGGGTGGCAAGCCACTCCCATCTGGTCACAAGGGCAGCAAGCCACTCCCACAAAGGAGGCCACACCCACAGAGTAGGTTCGAACAATTTTTGAAACCCACCCCTGGGTGGACGAATTGTTCTGTTCAGATCTGTAATTTGTGAAAATGAATCTTGCAAATCTCCCCTCCTTTACTTTTACTTTCCAGAAAACTAGTGAGAGTCCCTCCTGAAATGCTTCCCATGTCTCTTTTGTTTCTGTGGGCTGAGATAACTCTCCCATGATGGTTGCTTAGTCTGGAGCTCTTCTGCCTATCTCTCCATATCATTTCCATGAACCACAGCAAGGTCAGGAAAAGGGCTCAGCCCTAAGGGTGGCTTTTGCATCCCATAATGTTATGGAAAGAACTAAAATATTTCCCTCACATTTCACATGAGACTTCACAATAATGTTAGAGAGCAAATAGGTCTTCCAGCATTGATTCATATGTTAATTCTTGATAATGGTTTGAATAGCTTTGTGCAATTCAATTTTTTAAAAAGTATAAAATATATGAAAGAGTATATTTCTTCAATAAGCAGCTAAAATTAGTTTCACTTGGGAGTGTCTATTATGTATTCAAATGTGATTGTCTGAATTTCCTGAAATGTTAATGCTTTTTATTTTTATTTTTGGAGTCCAAAATCTATCACGGCTGAAAGGAGTGTAAATGGTATCTTGCCTCAAGGGGGTGCTATGTTCATTGAATTTCAACAATGTTTTTGCTAAAAAAAAAAAAAGCAAATCCTTTGTCAGGAAAAAATATTTTCTGAAACTGAAATGCAGGATGCAGTTCTCTCCAGCTAGTAATTTCACTGTTATGACTATCACATATATTAGCAATAGGCACTTATCTTTGACTATTTCATGCACTTTGTAAAAGCAAGTTATTGCTTTCTACATTTAGAGGTAGTGTTGTGATCATCAATGTACTGTTGATATTGTCATATCATGTAAGAAAAAACCTGCCTAATTTTCTAAATTAAAAACATCAGTCAACCCTTTCTGCATGTCCAGATAAGGGCATTCTTAGTTTACACAAAACCTTTCCTGAAGTTAATTATTGGAAGGTGGTACACGCTATCCCCATGATGGCGAACCTATGGCATGCATGCCACCTGTGGCATGTGAAGCCATTTGTTAGGGCACATGAGGTGTTGCCCTGTCAGCTCCAGTGTGCATGCACATGCTGGACAGCTGACTTTGGCCTTCTTTTAAGGCCATTTTTTGCCCTCCCAAAGGCTTCCTTCCTTCTGGGCAAACCAGAAGTTCGGGAATAGTCTTCTGGTTTGCTCGTAGGGCCCTTTTTTGCTCTCCGGAGGCTTCATGAGAGCAAAAAATGGCCCTACAAGCCATCCAGAAGTCACTTCCGGTTTGGCTGTAGGGTTGTTTTTCACCCTCCGGAGCCTTCAGGAGGCTTCTCTGAAGGCTCTAGAGGGCAAAAAATGTCCCTATGAGCAAACCGGAAGTCACTGTTCCCGAACTTCTGGTTTGGCCCTAGGGCCATTTTTCGCCCTCTGGAGCCTTCAAGAGCATTCCCTGAAGGCTCTAGAGCAGTGTTTCTCAACCTTGGCCACTTGAAGATGTCTGGACTTCAACTCCCAGAATTCTCCAGCCAGCGAATGCGCCTACGAGCAAACTGGATGTCACTGTTCCCAAACTTCCTCATTGCCTGTAGGGCTGTTTTTTGCCCTCCAGAGGATCTAGGGGTGGTGGTGGTGGTGGTAGTGGGAGGAAGGCTGTTTTTGCCCTCCCCAGGCTCCTAGAAAGCCTCTGGAGCCTGGGGAGGGTGAAAAAAAGCACACCAAAAGTGGGGGAAAGCACTGGTTGCATGCATAGCATTATGGGTGTGGGCATGCCCACGCTTGACCCCCCCCTGCGCTTCCCCTGCTTTTGGCACGCCATCCAAAAAAGGTTAGCCATCAGTGTACTATACAGTATTCTGCAATAAATTTCCGGTGAATAAAAAGAATTGAAGACATTTCAGGGCCTCATTTTTCTAAAAAGACAATGAAATAGAAAAAATTCTGCATCAGATTATTTGCAATTATTAAAAACCTGTTTTAATAAGGTATTAGAGCCTTGTCATCACTTATTAAGCCAACATATGGTATTTTTAAATCTCTATTCACTGATTTTCTTTCAAGATGTTCAGAAGCAGACCAAACATGATAACAGTTTTTTTTCTGCTGCTGTTCCACCTCAACTTTTTCCAAATTTTCCTTATAATATCTTCTGCAGTACAGTATTAGCAATAGCACTTAGACTTATATACCGCTTCATAGTACTTTATAACCACTTCTAAGTGGTTTACAGAGTCACCATATTAACCCCAACAATTTGGGTCCTCATTTTACTAATCTCAGAAGGTTGGAAGGCTGAGTCAACCTTGAGCCATTAGGGATCAAACTCCTGGCAGTGGGCAGAGTCAGCCTGCGATGCTGCATTCTAACTACCGCGTCATCATGGCTCTTCAAATGTAAATTCCAAGGCAAAGAAGCACTTTATAAGAGAAATGCAGAAAGAGAATAAAAAAAGAAAGAAGGTAGTTCTGTACTTTTTATAATAACTTGTTTTGGCATACAACTTTCTTATGGTCAAATTGCTCATTATTTGTTATTTACACATCTTCTTATGGCTTTAATACACCATCAGATAATGAATAAGAACAAAAGTACTCATCCTAAGAATAAGATCCTGAGCTCCTTACCAGGGGTGGGCTGCTGCTGGCATTACTGCCGATTTGGTGTGTGTGCAATTTTGTGCATGTGCACAGTTGCCCATAAATAGGTCTGCGCATGTGCAAAACATTAAAAAATGAAAAAAAAAACACCATGGCGCACCAACCTGTGAAATGGTTCGACTGGTTTGGAGGTGTGGCAGGCCTGGGTCGCTGCTGGTTCCAGCAACCCAGGCCAGCAAACCACTACTGGTTCAGTTTAACCAGTCTGAACCAGTAGGAACGCACCTCTGCTCTTTATCCAGCAATGATACTGAGTCAACAACTGTTTTTAATTTGGATTCAGACCAGGAATTCCATCATCTAGTTCTTGAGAAAGCTGGGACCTAAGGCCAGCATCAGAAAAGAAAGTAATATAAAACCAGGTAGAGCAGCGGTTCTCAACCTGTGGGTCACGACCTCTTCTGGGGTCAAACAACCTTTTCACAGGGGTCGCCAAGGAGCCTCCCACAGAGAGGCTGGTGAGAAGCCAGCCTGAAGGGAAGGAGCAGCTCAGGTTCCTCGTGCGGCAGAAGGAGAGGTGCCAGGAGACTGACGGGTCTGCTGCTCCTCTTGCTGAAGGCGGCCGAGCATCCAAGATCAGAGTGTGCATGTATGTGTGTGTGGTGGGTGGGAGGAAAGTAGGAGCTGGAATGGAGGCGAGGAGGTGGAAAAGAGAGACGCACACAGCACAGAGGATGCTGGGAAAGGAAGGCTCAGGAAGGAGGGGGAATGGGGAGCAGCAGCAGTAGCTGGTTGGGTGTAGGGGGGGGGAGCTGCAGTTCTTCTGTGCTGCACAGGGCTCTCCTTGTGCAGGGCTCTGGAGCTCTTCCCTCTCTGCATCCAGAGATGGCTGCTCTGGCTCTTTCCTGAGTCAACACGAAGGGGACCGCAGCTGGCACTGACCTGAGTCTGGCACCGAGGAGTTTCTTGTGCAGTGTGGCTCTCCTGTGCAGCACAGAAGAACTGCAGCTCCCCCCCCCTCCACCCAACAGCCTTATGCTTCTGATTCCCACTCACCACACTTCCATATTATTACTTTCA